AACGGGGATGAGGATAGGGATGGAGCAGGAGTAAGAGGAGAAAGTGAAGAGGCTCAACGGTTAGCTCCTCCGGGACAGAGTCTGAGCGAGATCGGCTACGTCCACGTCTACTAGAGAGAGCGGCAGATTGCGAGCTGGGCCTTTGGAGGATCATCAAATTAGCGGAAGAGTCTTTGAGAGTGTCTTGTGAAGGTGGCCAACTTGGCTGACTCGTCATAGCCTCTCTACTGAAATTATGCCCTTCGCCTGACCCTTTCTCGGAATCGAGTTGCAAACTTTTGTCCTTCGTTCCGGACGAAAAGATATCATAAGGGTTCTCACCCCTTTCTTTCTTTTACCTTCTTCTATCTTTATCTTTCTTCATTTCTTTCGTGCTTGCTTTCCCTTCTGGTACGTTAGTACGAACGACGCCGCTAATGTTGGCGAATGCGACGAAAGAAAATTCTCCACGGAGATTTCGCCTCTAAAACGAGCGACACGGAGCATGCTTCTGCACCGCCTAGACATAAATGAGCGAACTTTGAAAGGCTACCGGGCAAAAGACGCTCGGGAGGAGCAACCTGCAATTCCAGACTATTCGGATTCGCTCGGTCCAAGTGTTCTTCTTCTTCCACCTCCTTTTTCGCCCTCTATTCTTTTCCTACCCGTTGCTTCAATATCCGCTGGGGTATAATTTTTGGTAGTTGGAAAGCTTCTTGTAGCTGTCTCATGTTTAATTCCTCGGATCTTAAGAAAGGAACAGTCCACGAGAGCGTTACGACGTACGAGAAGAAACGTAGAAGAGAAAACAGAAGCATGGCCGCGCGCGAGAGTACTCTCTCTCCCTCCCTCTCTCTTTCTCTCTCTCTCTCTCTCTCTCTTTCTTTCTCTCTCTTTCTCTGTGTATGTGTGTATGTGTGTATAAAACATTCTGTCCTTCTCTGACGCGTTTAAAAATAACGACATCGTATAGTTTCAATCGTTGTTGCGGCCGATATAATTCAGGGAATATCGCGGACGTCGTACGCGAAACGTATTGGAAGCTGTAGAAGGGGTGAGGGATAAGAGAGAAGAGGGAAGAGAGAGAGAAAGAGAGAGAGGGACGAAATCGATCGATCCGACCAGTCGTTGGAAGTGAAACGCGCAACACGGACGCTGGGAAAATCTCGTAAAGCATAAAACTGCTGCATGATCGTGCCGGTCCGCAGCGAGCCGGCGGAAAATTTCAGGCCGTATGAGAGAGAGAGAGAGAGAGAGAGAGAGAGAAAGAGAGAGAGAGTATGCTGGAAGCCGAATACCACCCCAGCACTACCGTGTACTCTACTGTTACGAATAGAGGATATTTTTAAGCCAAGCTACTATGATATGTATATTTATATAGATACGTGTATAGATATATGGAATATGTGCAGACATATATAAGTAACGTCCACGCGTAAAACAGTTCATGCACGTTCAGGTCCAACGACGAAGGTAGCCAGAAACCGTGTGAATGTTTTATCGCAAATGCCAGCCCTTCGCCTCGCCTCCGACACTTCGACCCTTTCTCCACCGCACCCCGAGAACCCTGCCGACGACGGTGCTATGTACTTCCCAAACCCGTGTGTCTGGCCTGCACGGAAACTGGGGCAGAAACACAAAGCCTGGCTACTGCTTGCCTGAGATACCGCCAACAATACCTAAACGCATGAGGAAGGACGCCTTTTCCGCCCTTTCCGAGCCCTACCTTCTCCCGTATAGAAGCCTAGCGCGCTCGACCTATCGCTGATAAAACTAAAAAGTCCCGGAGCTGAATATTTTTCCACTATTTACTTTCCTCCTCTTCCACTATCGCTTCTTCAAAATACAGAATTCGTATTGGGCTACTAAGTTTTCGCATATTAAAGTTTTATGTTTAAACGAAGACGAATTAATCTCCTTTTCTCATAAATAACTTTTCGCGTTAAAGGAAAAAATAACACGTGCGAGTGAACGCGCAAAGATTAAACTTAAGTGAAACATTTTAGAAAAAATGTCGACCATGACTCTTACGGTTCAGATGTACCTCACGAAGTATCTAAAGCGAAGCCGTCTGGCATTGATAACATTTAATGGCAGCTAAGATGCGCCCGCATCTGACTCGATTTTATTCTTAGTGATACTTCAAAACAGCTTGATTCCAGTCGCGTACTTATGTACCTTCGCATTTGAAATGCATTAAGCGCTTCACATCGAATCTCACGAAATTTTTTATCAATCCTATACGTTCCCAACGATTCGAATTTCAATGAACTCTTCTCTTTCATCTGTGAAGAGATAGAAGTACGTTTTCATTTTCATTTTCATTCATTTTCATTTTTCCATCTTCCATTCGACTTTCTCTCTCTCTCTCTCTCAGCCCTTCCGTCTCAGAGCAATTCACTTCTTCCGTAAGAACATTTCAGTAGCCACCGAGCGATTCTCGGTTCTCAACGATGCACCGTGAAAATAAGTTTTGGACCCGTACTGGTCACGAGGGGCGTAGCTCTGTTTCCTGACTCACAAGAAAGAGTTTCCTTCGCGCAATTCCTATTTTCCGCATCTCAATGTCTTTCACGAGCACGGTGGGTCAGATAAAATTTTTCCAATTTCCACGTAAAGCTGAGTGAAGCAAAGAGAAAAAAAAATCACGTGACCGTATCGTCGGTGTATACCCGGATTATATACACCTAGACAGAAAAAGACACACACGAAACGATCTCTCGGTTATTCCAAAAGGAAAAAAGGTCGAGTAGTAAGAACTCATAGCGAAGGGTAGTTGAAGATCGTTGCGTAGGGGAGACAGAACGAGACTCGAGACGAACGAGCTCCGCGGAGATCGAACTTGGAAAAGTGGAGCATTATTTTTCCGCCGGATGGGCGCATTCAATTTCCGTTTCTCGATCGTTCTTACTTCTTTGCTCGAGTCAGAATTCTGAGCGGCGAGATGGTACTATCAGAAATCGCGAACGGCATGAGAGATGGAATCGTAAAGGAGACGCGTTCAACCGTGAAATACACGCAAGCATCGTGTTTGTTACTTTTGCAAATTTTTACATTTCGTCATTTTACATTTGACAAAAATACAAATAATCGGTCTGGCGATCGTGAATATATGTATCTTTTAAACATTGGTAAAAAGAGATTTAACTTTGTCATGTTTGAGCAAAAAAAATTGAGAGAGAGAGGGAGAGAGGACGGACTTGACGCACAAAAAAAGAAGAGGACAAAGTAAGAAGATAATGCAAAAAAAAAAAAAAAGGAAAAGAAAACAACACACTCGATGCTTTCTAATTAGCAAGCGTTCCATCATCATCGTTACCAATCGTTCCATTCACTCTCTCCTCGCTTTCTTCTTTTCCCAACGACATCCACAAATCGAACGAAGTCATGGACTCGATAACGACTGCCTCGTATCGTGATTTACATGACAATCGGGTCATCCCTGGAATCGTCGTCATCGCTAGTAGCAGTAGCAAAAGGAGCGTGACGGTTGCAGGAGTCGTACCCTCAAAGGGTAGACCCTTCCCTTTCGACCGTACGCACCCCCTGCAACTCCTTTCGTCCCCCGCTCGAGTTTCATCCAAGCTTTTACCGTTCGCCCTGCCTCTATTTATCTCCGTCTCTTTCGCCTTCGTTCTGCAACCCCTTCCTATCTTTCTTCCTCGCTCTTCTTCACCCTCACACGCTCATTCTTCACCCTCACATGCATTCGCGCGCGCGCGCGCGCGCGCACCAGCACTACTGGGCACGCCGACTGGTGCCCTCTTTCTATCTACGGCATCCCGTCATGCTCTCGACCCGGCAAGTTAAGAGCCCTAATTAAATTCAGTCTGGGTACTCTTACCGAGCGCGGTCCATCGTTCATTAAGCGTCGGATCAAAGTGATATTCCCGTAAAGTAGTTCCACGTCGTGGTGAGGGCGAGCCCTCCGTTAGCCCGGTCCCTTTCCGCTATTCCTCTCTCTTCCCTTCGACCTTCTAGCCTCTCGAGGTGCCAGCTTGAGTGAGAGAAAGATAGAAAGAAACGCGAAAAGAGGCCTAGGTGAATCTTTTGCGCCCCCATCGTACGAACGATTAATTACCGACGAACGTTAAGGCCACGCCTGTCTTCTTCCGAACCCTACCATCGCCGTCGTTTTACTCTTGTCATTCTACTCGTAGTCGTGGGAGAAAGAAGAGAGTAAAGTCCGCGAAGGGCAATGATAAATAGACGAAGAAGCCCCCGGCTCTCGTACGGCTCGGTAAAACTCCTTCTCTATTGCTCTCTTCTTTTCTCTCCGACTAGCCTTTCTATCTCAAATTTCACCCGTCGAAGAGATTTCTTTCCAACGATCCTCGAAAAGAGCTAGCTTGAAAAACGATGGGAATGGACGCGTGGAAGGATCGAAATGAGGCTCCATTTGGTCACGATAGTCCATCGGTACAAAGAAAGGTGTGAAGATCGAACAAAACACGTGGTGCCTTTAATGTATCGCAATAGTTCACCAAAGTCGAAAGACTTTTTGCATTGAGCCTTGGAAATGTATCTTTTTCGCGAGAAATTTTGGTTTAACGTGTATACATTGATAAAATAATTACATTATTATTTGAAAACTTAACGAGTTGGTATTTTGGAAGCAAGCATCGAGAAATTGGTACAAGGGAATGTAATAATCGATATGTCACGATAGTATTTAGTAAAGTTGCAAATATATATATATATAGAATATATATAGAATATATATAGAATATATATATAGAAACATACACACACACACACACACATCTTCAATAGTTTCGTATTACGAGAGCACCCTCCGGCTCTCACACGATTAATAGCCTCCGAATGAGCCATAAAGGTAACGACTTGCAGCTGTTACAAGCGACAATTTGAATAATTAGCGGTCGATGATACAAGATCAATTTAGTGATATTTCAATTAGTAGCGAAACTTAAACAAAGGCAAGACGAATCGTTGTAAAATATCAAAGCAAATTTTTCTCGCTCTTTTGGTAATTGACGTCGATGAAAATTTTGTCATACCATGAGAAGTTCATCGTAGAGATAGGAAATCTCCGGATAGCTGATGAAGTCGACCATCTTGCTTCTTCTGAGAACGAAAAAACTTATTCTGGATGATCCGTCGATCGATTAATTCGTCGAACGGATTGCTATTTCTCCACTCGGCAACGACCACACTTTTTCACACGTTTGAAATCGTAATGGAACACCAAAAAACTTTTGGAACTTTTCGCAAAATCGGCAAGAAGGAACACTGTTAATCCTTTATCCTTTCCCTTTCGAAACTAAGAACGACTCGGAGTCGAGAACGTGCTTAGCTTATAATTTCTGACCGGCTTACGATTCGACACTGCGCAGAATCACGCGAAAGGCACACACACTTACGCTGCTCGTTCTCTCTCTCTCTCTCTCTCTCTCTCTCTCTCTCTCTCTTTCTCTCTCCCCACCCTTTTTCTTATGAAAGCGCGTAAACAAAACACTCGTGACGATGCAACTGGTTTTGCGAAAAGAGCTTCGAAACATCCGGCTAGATGGAACGCACAAGTAAGAGCACGTGTCCGCGCGATCGCCAGAAATACACCATCGTTATTTCGCAAGGCCGAGAAAGACTCTTATGTCATCATCGAAAGCGAACTCGCGCACGTGTGAATAATAGCAAAGTTAGGAGAAGGATGAAAAAGAGAGGATTAAAAGAAAGTCGTTTCGCAGTCGTTTTTTTTTCTTTTTTTTTTCTTTTGGTGGTAAGGCACGCGAGCGACACGGTCGCGAAAGGAGCTTCTTGAAACGTAGCAACTCGGCAAGGGAAAAAGAAAGAATGGGGACAAAGAACGGTACGGAAGGGCGCGCGTATAACTGCGACTGGCTTATTCTCAGGGCCGTATCGTAGAAGGCAAAAGCGATGGTCCACGAGGCGCCCACCACGAGGGTTGTAGTAGGCGCCGGTCTTTGTGCGCAGGGACGAGAACGAGAGAGGGAGAACACGCGTAGACGCGCGTGGTAGGTGGTAGACGAAAAAGGAGGCTCTACGAGGTTCGCGCTTGCGAGCCAAAGCACAAGAGAGAGTAAGCTCGGTCACTGAGGCGTCGCCACTCGGGCTTGCTTCCTCTTGGGAGTGACTCCCTTCTCTTCCTCGGTTCCACAGAGTCCCCTCCCATTTCTCTTTTCCATCCCTCCTTTAGACTCCTCCATCTTCTCTTCTTATTCTTCTTCCTTCGTATCTTCGCCTTGCGCGAATACGACTATCCTCTCTCCTCCATCTCTTTTCGCTTCTCTTTTCTCCAACCGTTCCATACCTCTTCCTCTTCCTACTCGTCGACGAAGCAGAGGAAAACACACGACGAAACTTTCTCGTAATTGTTTCACGACACTATCGCGGCCGCTTCTTCTTCTTAATATTATACCGTCTATTATAAGTTTCCGTAGACGTTATCTTTAACGAACCGTCGTCGTTAACTCCTATATGGAACGACGCCATCGACGTTGAAAAGCTCAGCGATAAGCGGTTGCTTGGTGAACTTACGTTTCCATTCCTTCCAATTTCTTTTTCTCTCTTTTTCTTTTACTATTTACGTGTGTCCAGTCGAGTTAAGACGAACGACGATAAAGTAGATCGGAACGTTACCGAGTATCGCTTAAATTTCATCGAATTCGACGAGGGGTGGAATAGAATAGGTGCATGCGCGCAGAACCTTAGAAAAACTTCGTTAGAGCGGTTTGCAAAGAATGTCCGGTTCGAGTAGACCGCACCAACGACACATTATTTTCTTTCCACGTTGGCTGTAACCAATTTTTCTGTTTCTTTACATCCCCCCTCCCTTAATCCTCACTTCAGTATTTGCATGCATTCAGTTATCGCTTGACTTATGCAAATTTGTGCTATTCCAAACGATACTCCTTTTAGTTTCTTTCTCATTCTCCTTTTTCTGGTAACTCCCTTAAGAACCGCTTGATAATGACAACATTAAAAAGTGACTGTATTAAGAAGAGACTGCCCAGTTCGTCAATAAGCACCGATTCATATTTCTCTACATAGGACTTATTTATTTCGAGCTACCTACGATATGTTATTTCTTTATTTTCCGTCACTTACGTTTTGTCACGAAACGTTTTGTCTGGCAATCTCGAGACGTTAAATATTAAAATGGCATCAGCAAGGATTTTTTTTGCTTTCAAGTTACATTACAATGATATAATCGATAGCGCGAATTTAAATTATCATTTACAAAGTAAAATCTTAACCAAGATAGTCGCGAAGTTTGCACGACTTCGAGAACTTTTGTTCGACGTTATCGATAAAAGGTAAAGTAATATACTGGCATGTAACATTAAACGCATTAAGTAAAATGTAATATACATTTGAGTTTGCTCAGGGAATTTCTAAACGATAACACAAGCCGACCGATATTTCTTGAGGCGGCAACTCGAACGAAAGCGTACATCAATTCTCGTGTCACACGGCAAATATGGACGATCCTGTAGTAACATCTGGCGATCTGTTAATGTTAGGGGCCGCCTAGATCAACATCTCGCAGCTAAGGCAGAAGCCGGGCATCCGAGGCAAAATAAATAAACAAGAATTAAATTTGGAAAGCTTCATCGAAGGAAAACGCTCGAAGAGAAATCAGCTGCGAGAGAGAAGAAGAAAGAGATCGAGCTTTAATTTTTTAAAGAATTGTCGGATTAAGGATAGACAGAGTTGCCTTGGGCAAAACATTTTCAAAGAAGCGAACTCTTCGGCTTTTTCTATCTTGAAATTTCGTTCTCGATTTCTACGAGATCGAGCGTGTCGAGAAAAGTTACCCAAATAATAATCCAATTCTCTCGCTCAACTTTTTCTATCATTTTCAAAGAAAAGAACACGAAGAGAGAAAGTTATATTTTCGTTGATGACCACGTCCTGCACGCGAAGATTCAATCAAATCCTTGAGCAAATCTATCCGGATGTGGATAGGGATCGTTCACGGCTGTGTCTCCTACCGATCACGCCATTGCGTAGTTTATTGAACAACGATCCGACCTCTCGTGGATCGTTATCAAGAGTCCATGAGTATATATCATTGCTATTAGTCGATAATATCCAATTGAGAAATCTCGAGTTTCGCTATCTATTATACTCTATCGTGACGTACGATAACTATCAACTACTTGATAGGAACGATCGAGAAAGAGAGTCAATTTTGATATTGCTGAAGACGTGCGATGTCTAATATTTCAATGCGGAGCGCGTTTAAGAAGAATGAACGGAAACGGAAAGAGGTATGTGAAAGGGAAACGAAAGAGAGTGAAGTAAGAAGAGAGAGAGAGAGAGAGAGAGAGAGAGAGAGAGAAAATACACACTTTCAGACATTCGCGTGCGCACGTGCAACGTTCCTCGGTAAGCAATGTCTAAATATAGACGACCTGGCCAACGTGGCATTGTTATTGCTTGCACAGCGGGGATGGTGGGTGTTCGCCTTGCGATTCGTGTTTATGAAGGCTGAACTCTGCTTGGACCGAGTTATAGCCTCAGGTGTGTCGAGATATGAGTACTACGATCCAACCGATCCTCGTCGTAAAGGTGCCTACGATAGGCCTCGACATTTAATCGCTACTAAAACGAAACCTCTAATGCGTCGTCGTCTTATCGACGTCTACGAGTCACTGTTTCGAAGTAACCGACCATCGGCGGCGAGACAACAGACTGAGATGTAAGATTCTCTTTGATCGTAAAACGTCTGTTATCTCTTTGACTTTGGAACTTTATTGAACGATTACGTTCAATAAAGAAGAAAAACGAGTAATTTCGTTGATGCGCATTTCGCGGTAAAATCCTAAAAAAATATAGAATTCGTTACTGCGATGCCAGAATTTTATGTCAATGATTGAATGGTCAATAACAATGTTTCAAAAAGTCCCTGCGTAGTTTTATAAACGGAAAATTGATGCTGCATAATCGTAATACATGAACACATCCCAAATGCATCAAGCTGAAAGTCTACCCCGCCGAACATCGGTCCTACAACAAATTCCTTTTATATGAGGATTTTGATAAAGGGTCTCATAAATCGAGGCGATAATGCTCGATTATACGTGTTCTCATAGTAATTTACATTTTGTCATTACAACAGGCTGACCCGCAAAAAGGGAGACACATTACGTACAGGAACGCGCGGCCCAGTGACTGTACATCATCATTACGCTCGCGAAATACAATGTCAGGCCGTATGACAGCAAGATGAAAATTCAAACTAATCGGCTTCATTAAGAAGTACACTTGGAACAGTGGAACACAAACCGGCTTTAAAATCTAAAAACTATGTTACTTCGCCGGTGATTTAATGATATCACTATCATATTGCAAAATAGAGAAGGGCAAAAAAATGGAAGAGAGAAAGCTTCGGCAATGGAACATTAGCATTGACAAACGAAATGTTAATAAATGACTAAAAAAAAGTTTTGAACAACCGGTACACGGTGGCTGGCTCTTTTTATCCTCGTCTACGGAAGGGACGGGTGCAAAGGGAGAGTAGGACCGTACGCATGCGGAAACGCGCGGCCGGAACGGTGCGTTCGGCTCTCTTCATAAAGTCATAACTCAACGGAGCCCCCGGCGCATCTCTCGGCATAACATTTAAAACGATTTCCGCTGGCAGCGGTGCCAAGACCGTAGCAGCGTTGTTTCGGGGATAGATTAACGAAACATAACGCCAGTACTAGCTACGGACTTCCAAGGGGTAGTAACGGATAATGGGAAGGGGCGTGTTGGCACTGCTCTGGCAGTTAAGCAACGTTCAGTGCCGGCTCCTGCCACCCTTCAGCGCCACGGAGATGGGACGATCGACGGCAAACTTTCGAGAGCAACGAAAAACAAATCCTAATGCTATTATTTTACATCGATATTAAAAATATACACGAGCTGCTTGCATATATTTACAATATATCGTCGATCAAAGTCATCTTATTGTTACTACAGTATTTGTCAAATCATTATCTTCTACTTTTTTCGTATACATAAAAATACTGATTCAACTATACCTTCTAGTAAGTGTAAATAAGAGCGATCTCTGACACCGGGGAATAAGGAGAAATGTAGCCAGCACTGGCATTTGTTGAGGGAGTCTCGAGAAAGGGGAGAGGCAAACGGAGGGGAAGGAACGTCCGATGATACATCGTGTGCTTGGTTGGGTCCACCCTTCGCCCTTTTCCACCACCATCAACGTCTCTGCGACCCTTTTTCCTTCCTTCTTTTCTTTTATCCTCCCCCGTTCCTCTAACTACCCTTTCGACGTTAAGAGATTAACTTGTCACGTCGAGGCCATTTTAATATTCCGGATCGCTCGGCGAATCGCCGGAATTATCCTGGGAAGCGCCATACGGGTCGCTCCAGCGATAAGTATCTGTTAACGTCATCGAAGAGGTTAACTTTCTTCTAGACAAATATGTCTGGAAAGAAAAATTCTCAAGATACTACAGCGTTTTATAATCCTCTTAAATAGTGAGAAAGAGTAAGAGATGGAATCTCTAAAAATTTCTTCTCTTTCTATTCTCTTTTCTTTTTTCCCCCCACATTTAATTCATTTAAAATATATCAATCTTTTCATACATGACATTTCGATTTTGTAAATTGAGTATTGTCGTGTTTATGCTATTACAAGTAGCAAAATTCTTCGTGTCGAATTATTCCTTCTTGATATCAAATCATTAAAATCGCGATATATAAGATTTCATCTTATCCGTAACCCACTTTTTACAAACAAAAAAAAGGAAAAAAAAAGAAAAAAAGAAAGAAAAATAATCGGTCGTTGCTAACTTACGCTATGCATAATTTACTTGTGTTGTGTCCTTGATGGGAATATGAGCACATACCGATAACGAAATATTCCTCGATTACTTTCTAACTTTACGAATGTATTACTGGTTATGATATATGGATTAATGGAATTAATATTTGATATTTGTTATTAAGATTTAATATTTGTTAAAAATCTTAAACAACGTTAGATCCTTTTTGAGGTA